GGTGCCTGTGAGTGGGCCATGGGAGATGGCTTGGGGGTGGGACCCAAGCTGCAGCAGCCCCACCCACGCCAGCCAGGCTCCTCTCCTCCAAGCCGAGTCCTGGAGTCCAGTGGCCTCAAGGCCTTCCTCATGGCCCTGTCCACTCCAGTGCACCTTCTGCACCCTGCCCTGTGAGCCTGCTTCATTTGGGCCGGCCCACAGATGGAAGCATGCAGCCCTGAGATTGCCCTGGGCCTCAGAGCAGCCAGCAGGCCGCAGGAGCCAAGGGGCGCTGATGCCCCTGGAGGGCCAGGGCAAGGGGGCAGGGCCCTGCCACCAACCTCTCCTTCCTGTGGCCCCATAGGGCTACACCTGCCCAACCTCAGCCAATTGAAGTTGAATGGCAGCCGCCTGGGCTCTGTGAGGTGAGTGCCCCTCCTGGGGACCACGGTGTGGGGAGGGGGGCTTTCCTCCCTGGGGGTGGGGTCCTGCAGGGGCTGAGGCGAGAGCTCACTTGGGGTGGGGTCTCTCCTGGGTGGATCCCCGTGAAGGATGGATGTCCTGCCATCTCTGGCTCCCAGCCCTAATGCCTGCCCCTCGAGCCTGACTCTGGCACATGTAGCTCGTGTCACCCACGCCCGGTAGGTTGGAGGCACCTGCTGAGGGTGACATGTGTCACCCAGAGCCATGGTCAGGGTCAGGCCAGTCATGCCAGGTCGGGTGGCTGTAAGGTCTGCAAGGACCCACACTTGGGTGCCCAGAAGGCACCCACTGACTTTCAGCAAAGGGTCCTCAACCAGCCAAGGGTCTCTGGTGGGCACCCCAACACCAACCAGGGCTTTGGGGCTTTGGGCACCCCTGCACTTTTCACTGCAACCCTGGGTGGTGTCCCTCAGCCAGCAGGGCCAGGAGCTTGCGGGTAGCACTGGTACCCATCACCCTCACACCCTGCGAGAAGAGCAGGTGGGCACGGCCTCTGCTGAACAGAGGCCAGACCACAGACCCCACGGAAGAGATGACAGCACTTTAATAATTAACCTAAAAGACAACATTCAAAACTGAGGACAGGTGAATGGTTTTGTTTATCTCATTGGCCTGGAAAGAACAAAGCTGAAGAAATATCAGACTTTATTTTTGATGTTTGAGCAAAATAGGTTTCATGAAAACATTGCTGGTTTTATGTAGCCAGGGCCAGCCAGCATAAGGCAGGGGGATTCCAGTGAAAATTCTAGAAAATTCTCCAGATGTTTTAAGTGGGCACTAAGTGCCCAGTCATTTCCAGGTGAGGCGATAAAGGTCTTTGTTAAGCAAATTTGCTTTAAATGTCTTCATTATTTATACTGATGTTTATCAAAAGACATCAAAGAAAGTTTTGATGAAACACTTGAAGACTTGGAAACAGAAGTTAAGAAAATTGGAAGACTCTCTAGTCCTCCGGCCCTCTGTGGGCAGCCCACAGCAGAAGCAGTGGGCGGACTCACGGCCCAAGTGGCTCCCACATGACACCACGTCCGAGTAAGGATCCAGAAAACGGGTTTTCAGAAAGGCATCTTTATTACATGATTCAGCAATATCCTGACAGAGGTACCAATAATTCCTTTAGCTTAACAAAAACAAAAAATCATATTTATTCCTTCCTTGTTAAGGTTTACAAATTAGCTCAAAGAACCACAAAAGTACATAAAAATCATATGAAATAAAGGATGAAAACTATAAACAGAAGGGGAAGGTATTATAAAGTTGAGAAATATGATATACCGTTTGTGACAAAACAAAATGCTCAATTCCAAGAAAACAAACAAAAAAAGTAATTCCAAGAAAAATGATTAGATCATAAATTTTATGAAAACGTGTTCTGTTCCTTGATAACAACAGTGAAAAATGCGATGGATCTTGAAGTTCTTTTGCCGACTGAATCCTAAAACTTGGCCAAGTGACGTTTGCAAACCTCCATGGGTTGACAGTGAACAAAAATTTGTAAAAGGAAACTATCTAATTAAATATGACAGTCCAATAACGTAGTATTGTAACTTAGCTGGAAATAAAGATGTTAAAGACACTAAAATCCGCAGCAGCATTTTAAGGGCTGGAAAAGATTTAATTTATTGGCTGTCGGTGCATCTGAAGCTGAGGGAATAGCCAGCACCTAAAGAGATGGCGGGTGTGAGGACAAGCTCCCCACACGCAGGGCTGGCTTCCTGACAGCCCTCAGTGCAGGGGAAAGGCATTGACGAGCCTGGCGTGCTTCTCCACGTCAGTCAGACACGGGCACCTGTTCCTTAGTACCGCTTGCATGGGTAAAACCACACTAGCAATCTCTAAAACTCAACAACTAGTTTGGAAATTATTAAAATAATTGAATGGACAGTTTTCACTATGACAATGGCGGGCGTTCCCTCCTGTGACTAAGGCATCACGCCTCACCTGGTGCACCTGTGCTAATTTCTCAGGTGGGTTCTGCCCTTTTCTTGTTGACTTCTGGCAGGTCTTTGTGTAGCCTGAGCGTGTTCTGGACTTTGCAAGACTCTTCGCCCTACCTCTTCCCGTTGACTCTGACGATGGCAGCCTTTGCTTACACAGAAACCCTTCATGTTGATTTGCTCCAAGCCCTAGGTTCTGCTTGGTGCTTTGGGTGTTATTTAGGAGGCTGGTTCCCACCCTCAAGGTCATAGAGACATTCTACTTTTTCCTCTGTTCACTTTATGGTCTCGCTTTTTACTTTCAGGTCTTTAATCCAACTTATCTGCGAGGTCACCTTCAATTGTGGCATAAAGTTGGGACCCAGGTTTATTTTCCCCCATACAGTGAGTGACTTCCCAACACCATCCACCCAGCAGTCCGTTACTTTCCTACTGATCATGGTACCATCTCTGCCGTTGATCAAGTCCACGTGTGTGTGGAGATATGTCTATGAGCTCTCTGTTTCATCCATTGGTCTGTTAGCATCTGATACCTTCTCTCGGTTTTCCTTTTGCCAAGTTGACCTATTCTTGAACACTTATTCTTGCATTGGAATTTTGCAATCAGTTTGTTGGGTTTCACACATACTAATCTTTCTGGGATTTTTTTAAAATTAAAAATGATTCACCTGCTAATTTGGGTTTATACATTAAGTTCTATTCCTCCATGAATATGGTATAGCTGTCTATTCATGTATTCTGTTATATTTTCAGTAGAGTCTTTAAACTTCCTCTGTAAAGTTTATTATCAGTTGGAATGCTTTCAGCTGCAAGTTACAGAAACCTGTATCCAACTGGCCTAAACAATGAGAAATTATTTATTCCTTCAGTGCATACTATGGGCCAAAATGTTGTAAGCACTGAAGATACATCAGTGAACAGCACAGATAAGAATCTCAGTGTCCCACGGAGCAGACGAGAAGGCCAGCTTTGGCTCTTCCAGGGTGGGTTAATTCAGTACAGGACCCTCTGTCCTCATGTGTGTCCCCTCACAATGCACAGTGGCTTCTGCAGCCACAGGGATCCTTAACATTGATGGGCTGAGGGAGTGTGTTAATTCTCTAGGGCTGCTGAATGAAGCACCATGAACTGGGCAGCTAGAACAGCAGAAGTTTATTCTCTCCCAGTCCTGGAGGCCAGAAGTCAAGATCAAGGTGTTAGCAGCGTTGGTTCCTTCCTAGGACTGTGAGGGAGAACCCATCGCCTTCCTTTCTCTGGTGGTTTGCTGCTATCTTTGGCATTCCTTGGCTTATAGACACATCACCCCAATCTCTGCCTTCATGGTCACATGGCATTCTCCCTGTGTCTGTGTCTGTGTTCAAATTCATCTTTTTATAAGGGCACCAGTCACATTGGATTAGGGCCCACTCTACTCCAGCATGACCTCATCTTAACTAATTCCATCTGCAATGACCCTATTTCCAAATAAGGTCACATTCTGCAGTACCTGGGGGGTTAGGACTTCAACTTGTGAATTTGAGGTGGGGGCTGGTCACAATTCATCCCATAACAGGCAATCTGCCCTCCTGTGTCCATTAGTAAGAACAAGGGAAGTTCCCCAGCATCCTTCATGTGTTTCTTTGGCTAGAACTGCATCACATATACCCTTTCCTATACCAACTACTAGCAAGGGGATGGAATTATGATTGGCATGGGCTTACAGGACCCACCTGCCCTGTCCAACTTGGGACAGGGCAGGACACCAGCCTCCTTTGGAGCCAGGGCTCCCTGAAACCAGGACTAAATTAATGCCCACATATGTATAGTATGTTTACAATCATGAATGACGTCCTGTTTCTATTGTATTTTCTGGTTGATTATTGCAAATATAGAGAAACACTATGTTGGTTTAAAATAGATTTTAAAAATCAATACAAAAGTATTGATTTTTATAAATGGATCTATTATATCTGGCAATATTGTATCTTTACTTTGTACTGGGCAATATTGCCAAACTCTCACATTAATTCAAATAATTTGTTAATTCAGTTGGGGTTTCTGTACTGATGTCATGTTATCGGCAAGTTCTGAGTGTTGTCTTTCACTCTCAGTCTTCATGCTTCTTTTTCTTGTCTTACAGCCTTGGCCAGGACCTGTTAACCAGCATGGTCTTGCACAGACAGATAGACAGATAACGCGTATATAGCAGCAGTGATGGCAGCAGGCATTCTGGGTTTGTTCCTGATCTTAATGAGTCTGTGTCTAAGTTCCTCTGCGTCTGTTTACATGATCATAGAATGATATTTCTCCTTTAGTCTATTAAGGTACTGAACTCCACTGACAGACTGTGATGGTCGCTCATCCTTGAATTATTTTAAAATCTGTTTTCATGAGTGACAGCCTTTGAATTCCCTCGTATTGTACTCCTCCAGTTCCAGAATCAAGGACATCCTCATAAGGTGGCCTCTCCCTTTCGTTGTTCTTTTCGACTGCTCTATTTTTTAAACTTCCTGTATAAGAAATTGTAGAAGACAGAGATTGTCTATTCCGTGATAGTTCATTAGAACTTAATTTTAAAACTGGTCCAGACCTGGGGACTTAGGGGGGTGGGGAGGGTTTAATCACCATTTAATTTCTTAAATGGCTATTAGTCTAGTCAAGTTTTCTATTTCTTTCGGCGCCAGCTTTGACTAGGTTTTCAAAAATGTTGGTATATACTTTGTTCATAATGGTCTTTCGTTGTTTTAAGTTGCTGCATGGCTGTAACTATTCCTGTTTTTAAGTTCCCTACATTTACTTGCATTGTCTCTCTCTTTACCCTCGGTCAGTCTTACCAGAGGATTGTCTGTTAATTTTTTCAAGAATCAGCTCTGGGCTCTGTTAATCTTCTCTACAATTGTTCTGGGTGTTACTAGTTTTATCCTAATTTATTACATCTTTCCTTCTTGTTATTTTTCTTATTTGCTGCTTTTCTTTTTCTAGCTCTTTGAGCTGAATGCTCAGCTTAATTATTCTAATCCTTCCGATTTTTTGATAAATATATTTAAATATCTAAGTCTCTCTTTATGTGTGGCTTTCGGCAGGGTTCCACACATTCTGTACACTTTGCTTTTTGTCGTTAGTTCTAAGTATTTGGTAATCTTCCTATTTAATCTGAGATGAGGCAAAATCTACTAGTAATTCCCCAGTCCTTATTCTTCTAGAATAACAGGATCCCCCATATCTCGCGGGGCACGTAGCCACCCCAAAGAAAATCCTGGTGTTTCCCAGTCTCCCTTGCAGCTGGGCCGGGCTGTGTATCTGGGGTCTGAACCATAGGTCACGAGCAGAAGATGTGTGCTGACTCTGAAAAGAAACAGACTACAGCAAGAATGCCATCACAGAAACAAAGACAGACTTGAAAGAAATACTGTACCACAGGAAACGCATACCAGACAGTGTATGGAAGACAGGACAGAGTCCTGGAGATGGAGGGCAGACAGAGGAGGTCTGAGATGGACATAATTGAAATCTCTGCAGAAGGAAACTGAAACAATAGAACAGAACAAATATTTAAAGATTAAAGAAAACTTGTCGGACATAAAAGAAGACTTTCATCAACAGATTGAAAGAAAAAAGTGAAACTGGCTTGCCACACTGAAACATACCCTAATAAAGATATAGATAAAATTTGGGGGCAGCCAAGAAAAGAGATCAAGTCTTCCTTTAAGAAGGAAAAAAAATGCAGTTTTCCTCAGACTTTTCCATAGAAATACTTGAAGCCAGAAGGCAGTAGAAGGATGCCAACACAGCCCAGCTGAAAGATAATGTGAACCGAGAATTTCACACCCAGCCAACATTTGGAATGAGTGAGAATCAGGGGAAGTAGTTTGATCAGCCCCCCTTGGGGAGATTACTAGACACAAGTTTCAGCCAATTAAGAGATGACTGGAAAACCCATTTAAGGCAATAGACAGGATAAATATGGAGTTTCCGTAACTGCAGGACACAGACGACAGCTCCTGTGGAGATGAGGGTGACAGAAGAAAACTCAAAGACTCAACGGACGGGCTAGACGGTGGCTGAGTCATGAGCGAAGGGGATTTGTGACCTGGAAGATGGGTCTGGAGAAATTACCCAGCCAGCAGAAACACGAGGCTGGTCAGGGAACGCCTCCGAGATAAGGCACCCTGTCCACATGGGCGAGGTGAGGAGACAGCCTTTAAGCAGAGGAGGGAGTCCTCAGGCGTGAGAACGAGGACAGGCTCCAGTGACACAGGGAACCGGCACAGCTCGAGTGGGACAGCCCCCAGGGAGACGCGGCAGCCGCCCTGAGCCATCAGGGGAGTCACGCATGGGGCCACTGCCACCTCCAGCAACTGGTCCCCACCAAAGAAGCCACCTCATCACCTCGTCACCCAACAGGGAAGCCCCCCCACATCAGTGTCCCCAGTGGTGGCTCGGCACCTCCAAGGAGCATTTCAGACCCTCACTCCCCATCTGAATGCCCAAGGAGCTATTACTACTGTAATTAGAAACATTACAATCCCTGCAGTGTGAATGGGAAAGGTCAAAACAGAGGATCCCCAAGGAAGCAGAGACGGTGCAAGGAGGGGAGTAAAACTTCCCAGACCCTCCAACTGTTATTCTGAGAGGCACAGAAGAAGATGCGGCTTCTCTGCCTCTTCGAAACAAGAAAAACACGCTGCAAGAGAAGACCAGAGGACAACGAAGAGCACTGGCAACGAAACACGTGGTGGCCAGCACAAAATGTTAATAGCAGCATGGGAAGACGAGGAAACCTCCCAGAAAGCAGAAGGAAAGGCACAGAGATGGAAACGGGAGAGAGGAGGAGAGAGAACAAGACTCAGGCTCAGAGGACGGACGAGGGGCAGAGCTCCCCGACGGAAGACCAGAGAACATGGAGGAGAGAAAATAACAAGAAATCACATCGAGAACATCCCAGAAGCCAATGGAAAGGAGATGCAGCAGTGGGCCCTGCCCTGGCAGGAGACGTGGGACACCCCGGCCGAGAGGACCCCGCAGGCAGAGGTGGGGCCCAGAGAGGCCGGGGGCAGAAGGTCTGCCTCCCGCAGTTGTTCTAAGAGGGGAGAGCCCTGGCCTGCCCATCTGCAGGGGAGGGTGGCAGGGGCGAGTCCAGGGCATGGGCAGGGGACTGGCCCCAGGGAAGGGGTGTGCGAGCTCTTGCAGGCACATCTGGGCTGAGGAGGGCTGCAAGCTGAGGAAGTCATCCACAAGAGAGGCCGAGGGAGAGAGGACAGGAGAGCCCCCCAGGCCGATCCCCCCGGGGAAGGGGCTGTCTCGCCTACCCCATTAGAGCAGGCAGCAGGTGCGGCTGGGCTGAGCTGTCCAGCACCAGGGCAGCTCCCCGCGGCCAAGCCCAGGCCCTCCAGGGGTCACATTCTGCCCGTGCCCGAGACTAGAAGGCTGCAGCAAGGAGGCAAGGCAGGGAGCTGGGGGGCTCTGGATCCCCTTCCTCAGCCTAGAGGCTGCCAAGAGCCACAGTCACAACGGCCCCTGCACCTGGAAATAGCCAGCCGTGAGTGGTGGCTGGCACGAGGCATGGCACAGAGGCTTCGTGGCCACAGACAGGGCCCTCGACCCCAGGACAGCACTGACCAGCCAACCCTGCCCTCTACAGAGACCTGGGCACCTCCCTAGGCTGCCTGCAGGTGCTGTGGCTGGCTCGCTGTGGCTTGACCGACCTGGATGGCATCGGCTCCTTCCCGGCCCTCAAGGTGGGTGTGGTCACCCTGGGCTGGGGAGAGGGCACCAGGCCAGGCCCTGGCTGAGACCCCCTGCTGCCCCAGGAACTCTATATCTCCTACAACAACATCTCGGACCTGAGCCCACTGTGCCTGCTCGAGCAGCTGGAGGTGCTAGACCTGGAGGGCAACAGCGTGGAGGACCTGGGGCAGGTGCGGTACCTGCAGCTGTGTCCGCAGCTGGCCACACTCACCCTGGAGGGCAACCTGGTGTGCCTGCGGCCAAGCTCTGGCCCCTCCAACAAGGTGCGTGTTGTGGCCGCCCAGTCGGCTGAGTGCACGGGAGGGGGAGGCGCTCTGTGGCTCTGGCCCCCTGGCCCTCCCACAGCCCGGGGACTCCTCGCCTACCTGAATGCTGGCCATGCCCAGGCCAGGCAGCAGGAGCATCCAGGGCACATCCACCAGGCACAGGCCACCTGTACCCTGTGGCTTGTTCGCCGTGAGCTCATTCTCCTGTGTCGCTGGAGGCCTGGCAGCCACCAACGCATCCTCATGGGCCAGGACGAGACCCCACGGGGCCATATGCATACATGCCATGCCCCTTGGCCCACGCATGCACCCTGTGAGGTTGTCTGTGCACATGCCACGTGGAACCACGCACGTTCTGTACAGCCTCCATGTAGAATCACGTACACGCAAACGTGCACACACACACACACCCTGCCCAGAGCACCCCCATCCCCTGCAGGCTTGTGCACTCCCTACATGGAATGCACTCAAATATCACAGGCCTGTGCACACCTCACACAGCTGCACACGCCCCTGCACTGCCCGTGCACACCCAGAGCTCACGCTGCCTGCCCTGCTACCTGCTGCTCAGTGGTGCCAGTACACAGTGGCCGAAACTAGGCCAGGGCTCTGAGCTCAGGGCAGCTCCATAGGCCAGAGGGCACCACTGGACCCTGGCTGTGAACCTGGAGCGTGAGAGCACATACAGGTGAGAGCCCAGGGCCCCCGCAGTCCCGGGTGTCCAAGAGTGACCAAGGCCAGCCCTGGCTCCCCCCGCAGGTCTGGGGGAAGCAGCCACACAATAAAGCTGGGCTGAAGGGCGCACTGGACCCAGGCCTGCCACTGCCCCCACCCCCCAACCCTGCAGGTGCCCCCAGGCTACAACTACCGGGTGGAGGTGAGGAAGCTCATCCCCCAGCTGCAGGTCCTGGATGAGGCTCCAGCCACGCACACAGGCCTGCCGGCCTCATGGAAGCTGGACCGGGACTGGCACATGGTGAAGGAGGCCATCAAGGAGGGCGGTGTCCTGGACGGCCTGCTCCCCAGGCTGGGTATGGCAGCCATCTACCCAGCCTCTGCCAAGGGCTGCCCCACCCGGCCCGGAGACCTCGCCCCCTGAGCCCCGGGAGAGGTCTCCACCCCCATCCACCCCCAGGAGGAGAGGTCTCCACTTCCATCTCCCCTCTGCAGGCCTCTCAGAGATGGAAAGTCGCATCTTGTATCCCTCCTCAGCCCTAATCTCTCGTCCCCAGAGCCCTGCACACCTGCCCCCAGGCCAGGACACCCTCCCTGTGAGCAGCACCCGGTGGGACCTCCCCACCAATCCACAGAGGGAGCAAAGGGCCAAAACCTGCCACCCCATGGCACTGGCCCTCAGGACACACAGATGGCGGGTGGCAGGGGTTTGTGGACAGAATCTGGGGGGAGCTCTTGGGCTGGCCAGCTGGCATGGGCCTTGGTAACCACTGATTTGGAATCTCGGACAGATCATCCCCATGGAGCCCCCATTCGGAGACTCAGCCCCGAGCTGTCCTTGTCCGAGACCCAGCCCCAGGCCCCTAGGTTCTGGCCCCTGTCCCCGCTGGTCCCTGGGGGACCGCTGTCTGAAGGCCTGCTTCCCAAGGACCCAGCCCCAGAAGGCGATGCCAGCAACCTCACCCACGGTAACTGACCCGCCTCAGCGTGAAGCCGCCCCGCAGCCCCTGAGCCGGGAACCAGGCGCAGACACACCCTCTTCCTCAGGCGCTGGCCGAGTCCTCTGCGGGAACCCCACCAAAGGCCTGCGGGAACGTCGGCACCAGAGCCAGGTACACCCTGCCCCCACAAGTGGGCCAGGACTCCAGCACTCTGGCAGTGGACCAGCCTCTTGGCTCTCTGGAGGAGAGTGGCCCAGCGTACTGGCCTGGCAGTACCCTGCCCTAAAGCCTTTCCAGGGGCCCCCAGCTCTCCTGCACCCTCCCCAGCTGACTCAGTCCTTCTGCCCCCAGGCTACTGCCCACCTAGCCCCCTCAAAGGCCATGCCCCCAGCCAGCCCTTTCCCTCCTCAGGCCTGGGCACCCCCAGAGCAGCTGCCCCCACGCAGGCCAGAAGACCTGGCGGCCAGTGCCTCCACTCCAGAGCCTGACCCTTTGGATGACCATGACCTCCTGTCTTGGGCTGGGCTTCGGGCCTGGAGGGAGCTGAGCCTGAGGTGGGTGCCCCTCCCCCACCAAGCCCTACTGCCTTGTGTGTCCCCCATCTGGTGGGGGCTCACAGCCGGGGGCTGCCTTGGCCAAGCAGTCACTGGTTCCAGGATGGTCAGAGGAGCTGGTCATGGGAGCCTAGGGCTGGGGGTCATCCCAGAGTCATACTCATTTGGGATTGGCTCCGGGGGGGGGGCGGGGAAGGGGCAGGGCTGCAGCCTCTCCCTCTCTCCCCACCCCAATCCCCTCCCATGTAGGTGCCTGGAGTCCCAGCAGGAAGGGGCCACAACCCCCCAGTGCCCACGGAGAGGCCCTGAAGAGCAAAAGGACCAGGCTGGGCCCAAGACGTCCCCCAGCCCCCTGAGCCCCACCCCAGGTACTGAGAGTGACCCCACACACCACCCCACGATGGGGTCTCACCTCGGACCAGCCCCCTCTTCAGCCAGGCTCTGAGAGAGGCTGTGACACGGAGGTCACAGCCTGGGAGTGGAGGGCTCACAACCAAGGGGTTCCCATGCCAAGTCACCCTCCCCTAAGCCCATGGGACCATGAGGCCACTGGGGCTGGACGCAAGAGAGCGAGAAGGTGCCCCAGCAAAGGGCCCAGCCTGAAAGACCGAGCAGCCCCAGGGAGGGCGGCAGGCCACCAGCTGGTCCAGGAGGCCAGGCAGAGAGGGGTGCCGCCCTCACTCTCAGACAGGGCCTGTGCTGGGCTGGAGACACAGAATTAAGGCAGGGAGGCCCCCACCCCGACGGACACTGGCTTCACAGTGACCCCAGCTGAGCGGAGCAGATGCAGGGGCTGCAAAGCAGAGAGACCCCTCACCCAGGAGCACCCAGGAAGGCTACCTGGAAGAAGGGTCAGAGCAGACTGGTGGAAGAGCTGGGTGGGCGAGCCTGAGGAAGGGGCACTGGAAGCAGGGGGCAGCAGGAGCACAGGCTCAAGGTTGTCCAAATGACACTCTGGGGGGCTGGGGTCGAGGGGACAGCAAAGGGGCCAGAATGGAGCAGGGACAGGGCAGGCCAAGCCTCTGCTCTTCCAGGTGCTGGCTGGCGCCTAGGGGGAGGTGCCCTGAGACCCGCTAGTCAGGAGGAGTCCACAGCTAGCTACCTAGTGGAAGGGTGCAGGGAGAGCAGGAGAGGAGTGGCTGGAGTGGGGACTTAGGGACAAAGGGTGGCCAAGGCCTCCCACTCCAGGCCAGGTCCAGGTGGGCACTGGGTGACCACGGACACACCCTCCCAGTCTGCCCTGCCGGGGCCTCCCTCCATAGTGGAGATTCAGGAACTGGCCCAGGGCCACCAGCTGGTGAGTGGTTCCTTGGGGATGGGACCCAGGGACCCAAAGTCAGAGCCCAGGCCTTATGGCCTCTGCCTCCCCAGAGGTGGGTCCAGCCCAAGCAACAGCCAGAGGTCACGGGGCTGAGAAGCCATAGCTTCCTTGAGGAGCACAGGAAGTGGGGCAGAGGGGTGCTGCCTTGGGGGTCAAAGGCTAAGAGAGGAGCTACCGTGTACGCTGCAGCGTGTCTGTGCTGACTCCCCAGGTGCCGATTCCTTAGAGGGCCCCTTGTCTGACACGTTGTCTCCTCGTTTTCCAGAGCCTTCCAGGCCCTCGGGCTGGAACCTGATCCCCTCTCCCCCCAAGGTCCCCATGCCACCTGATTCAGGCAGCACCTCCTGGGGGTCCGCAGACCTGCGGTTCCGGCGGCGGCGGCTCAGAGCCCTAGGCAGCGTGGGGCCTGGCCTGGGTCAGGGGCTGGCTGCAGTCACCACTCTGAGAGCCCTAGAGATGGCCTCAGGCTCGAGCCCTCAAGCCCAAGGATGTCTAGGCCCAAAGCCAGTACCAGATCCAGCAGCCAGACCTCCAGGCCTCCGGTGCATGCCACACCTGAACCCCATCACCCCAGCCCAATCCCACCTGTAATGTAAACCCCCCTCCACTGCCAAGCTGGTCTGGACTTCGGCTGAAGGACCTCACTGTGGTCGTGTGAGCACCATGTGAACTCTGGCCTCATAGAACCCAGAGCATCTGGGCGGGTATATTATGCAGTGCGAAGCGGGCCTGGCACAGGAGAGGCCCCTCTTGGTGAAGAGGAGTAGGGTTTGGGACCACCAAGGGTGAGCACAGGCCAGAGCCCAGGATAGGATGGCCAGCTTCCCACTGCTGACCCAGCTGCCCACTCCTGCCATGGGGCCTGGCTTCCCCAGGGTTGGTCAGAGGGGCTGGCCTGGAAGATCCCTGGTTGGGCCCAACCCGGTGGCTGGAGCTGGGCCCCATCCACTCCCTGGGAGGCACTCCAGCTGCCCCAGGGCTCTGAGCCCACCCTGGGCTGCTGTGGTCCCAGGTGGAGGCACTGGCCCTAGACCAGCCACGGTGTGGCCAGGACTCCCACCCCTGGTGGACCTGTGGGGTTCTCTCTCGGGGCAGGATATCCAGACACAGAAACCAAGCAAATCATTTTCGACTCTCAGGTGTACAGAATGCGGTTTACTTTGTAGGTGAAGTTGGTTGAATAAATTATGCAGCTGGCACTGCCTGCCTCCCACGACTTCCTCCCCGCTCTTCCGTCATCCCCGGGCGTCCCCCACCCCGGGCTGTCCCCTCTGTCCCTTGGTGTCCCGCATCCCTCGCTGTCCCCTCCGTCCCAGGCGCCCCACATCCTGCGCTCTCCGCCAGCGCAGTCACGGAGACGGCCAGGCGAGCGCAGGAGCCTGTATTGCCCGTCGGCGCCGCCCTACACCCACCCGCACCCGTCCGTGGTGATGGGCGGGCAGGGGAGGAAGCGGAAGCCGAATCTGCTCTCGGCCGTGCTCTGCACAGACAGCGCCACCATCGGGCAGCTCCGGTCCACGGTCTTCCGGCACACCTGCGGGGCGCCGGGTCTGAGAGTTGAGCGGGCGGGGGCGGGGGCGGGGGCGGGACCCGGCAGGGCGAAGAGGGGCGGGGCGGGGAGAGGTGGGGAGGGACGGAGAGAGGAGAGGCGGGGCAGGGAGAGAAGGACTGGGGCCGGGCGGGGAGGGCTGCCCCGGACACCAGTACGCGCGCACTCACCCGGACCTTGGGCTCCTTCCTAGCCTGGCTGATCTCGAGACCCACCCCGGCCTCTGCGTGGGAGAATGATGGGGTGGGGTAGGGCCGGCCGCCCTCTCCCTGCTGGTCCGCCCCTGCCTCCGCGTCCCCGCGCGCGCTCACCCGGGAGGGCGGGCAGGAGCTCTGGCGTGTGGGTCTCGGTGCGCTCCGGGCGCGCAGGCACAGCCCGCGGGCGGAAGAGCTTGCCGCTGCTTAGGCGCGGCAAGGGGACCCGCGTCCTAGTGGGGCGAGGGTGTCGTGAGGGTCCGAGCCCGCCCGCGGAAGGAGTGGTCCTGACGGGGCCTGGGGAGGTGGGGACCTGGCAAGGGCGGGACCTGGGTACGTGGGTGGGGGTCCTGGCGGGGACCTGGCCTGGGGAGGTAGGGGGCGGTCCTAGCAGGGAGTGTGGGGGATAGGTTTTGCAGGAGAGGGGCCTGGGGAGGAGGCGAAGACCGAGGGACCTGCTGTCCCTACCCGGGCCTCCTGCGCCCTGCCCGGGCCTCCCGCACCCGGCCTTTGCGCGGGGGTTGAGGCCGGCGCGGCTGCTCCCCCTGGTCGGCCCCGCGCCCGGCCTCTGAGAGCGGGAAGCAGTCGATGGACAAGTCGGTGTTATCAGTGAAGACCCTCGAGTGGGGGGTCACGCAGTGCGGGGGCTGGTACTCGGTGAGGACCTGTGGGACCAGGAGGGCGCGGCGGTCACCCTCACCCCGCGAGGTCCGCTGGCACCCCAGCCCCCGCTGGGACCCGCACTGACCTCGCCCTTGGGGTTCAGGAGGAGAGTAACGCAGCTTCGGCTGGAGTGGAAGTGGACGGGCTCCCCACCCAAGAAAGAGGACGGCTGCTTCTTAGTGGTGGGGGGCCCCTCACCCCACACCTGCGGACGGCAGGGCGGCGGGTGAGGGGCGGCGGGGCGGGGCCGGGGGCCGCACGGGCAGCGGGAGCGGGGCGCACCGTGATGTGGTGCCGCGGCGCCAGCAGCATGCCGGCCGGGAAGCGGTAGGTGGCCACGGGGAAGTCGCGCACCAGCTGCTGCAGCATGCAGCCGCCCAGGTCGGCCGTCTCCTCTAGCGACTGGTTGAGGATGCGGACGAACCTCTCGTGGCGGCTCACGGCCACGATCTTCAGGCAGCAGCCCGACGCGCTGGGGCGGGCCAGGGAGGGAACGGGCGCTGTGCAGAGACACTTGGGCCCAGCCCACCCAGCCCCTTTAGGAGACCAGCTCCTGGCCGTGCGCCCCAAGCTGTCACCCCTCACCTCCAACGGTGCCCGGGATGCCCAGAGTCGGGACCTGCAAAGGACTCCGGCACGACGACGACAGTCTTTCCCTGCCAGTCCCCGGCGGTTTTCTGGAGACCCAGGGAGAGGACGCCTGTCCCGGAGTGGGACCCCCATGTAGAGCGCCCACTGGGGATATCTCTTGTGAGGCTGGACCTGGCTTGCAGCGCCCTAAAGGTCCTCGTAGGAGACGAGCAGTGCCCGGGGTCAGAGCTGGGGTAGGAGGGATGGCTGGACCCCAGGACCTGAGAGGAGCAGAGGAGTAGTTGGCAATACTTGTTGAGGGGATGGGAATTCGAGCCAGAACAGGGTGGCACGGGCAGGAGACCCCCAAAGACAACCGTAACCCCTACGGATGAGGCTGGAGAGGCCCCAGTGGCCTTGCTCTGGGCTACTCTAAAGGCCAGACAGTTGGGGACATAGTTTAGGGCTTTGGACCGAGATCACAGTCCTGCAGGGGCAGGAAAGGGCAGTAACCAGGGGAGACTCACCCCACCACCTTCAGGCTCTGCCTGGTAGTCCCTGCTGCAGCTCCTCACCTGCGCCACAGGCTGCTCAGAAGCATGACCTAGTGCCTGGGGCAGGGGCCTTGTCACCTTCTGCTTGAGATGATGCTTGGCCTTGAGATGATGCTTGGCCTTGAGATGATGCTGGGAACTGCTGGATTCAGAGATGGAGCCCCCCGAGCTGCTGGTGCCCACCAAGGGCAAGGCGCTCCACTCCACGCTCTTGAGACGATGCTCTGCACCGTGCTTGCGCGGCTCTGAGCCCCACTCCTCAGGTGTTGAGGCTGGTGAGAGCTGGGGGGGCGGTGGGGGCCGGGCGTGCCTGCTGACCACGATCTGCTCACTGCCTGCTGGACTTTGGCTCCTCGACCCCAGCCCTGCCCCCATCCAGCCTCCTCAAAGTGGGAGGGGCACCCCAAGTGGTGGTCCTAGTCCCTAGGACCCAGCCTGGAAAAAGGGCTCATGGGAGGCCAGAGATGGTCCAGGAGCCTTTTCCCTTCATCCCTAATCCCATCCTACAGATCTGAGAACTGATTCTTGGGAGGTCTAAGTGACTTGTCCAGGATCGCTAAAGGGTGGAGCTTGGACCTTGGTCCACGTCTGCTAAGGCAAGCCCTCCCCTCCCCTGGCCCCTGGCCCCTGGGGAGTCCCGCCAAGCGCAGTTACTTTTGATCTAAGTTGGACTCCATGCTGGTGAAGAGGTTGGGGTACCGGTGGGCAATGCTGTTCCAGTCCACATCCTCCAGCCGGAAACCCTGAGCAGGAAGCAACAGGCATGTGACCCTCCCCTCCTGCAGGGCTGCAGAGGCATGAACACATGTGAGGGGTCTTGCTCACCTCCCCAGAAGCGGAGATGTTCCCGTTCTCAGAGAAGTCACTGAAGTCCATTAGGGTCTCCGCGGTCACCACCTGCAAGAGGGGACAGGAGGCCAGCGGGCAGGGGTTTGGGGCAGGGCACCCTTCCCCCGATGGCACCTGTCCCCTTTGACCTCACCAGCCCCTGAGGCACACAGGTGGTTGGGACCACAGGGTTCGTGGTTTCTCCCTCTCCCATCCATGGGCCCAGAGGCAGCCCGAGGGGGACAGGCTTCCCAGGCAGGCCAGAGCCCCAGCAGAAGCACCAGTGGAGGGGGCACGCTGGCTGTCACGGGAGGTCCAAGGAAGGCTGTCAAGTGGGGCAGGGCCCCACTAGCACAGGCTTACCTCCACACTGCCAGTGGAAGACCGCAGCACGCGGCCCACCCAGGAGGACTGGGCCAGTTGCAGGAGGCAGGACTTCTGGAAGCCCTGCAGCTCAGCCTCCATCTGCTGCAATGTGTTCATGGTCTGCAGCAGCTGCTCCTCCAGTTGAGCCTTCTCCTGCTCCAGGAGGGCCCATAGGTGGAGCAGGGCCTTCTCCAGACCCGGCCTCCAAGGCTGCCCCCACCCCCGACCTTCACCCCAGCTTGGGTCTCCCGGCCCACTCCCTGATCCCACCACCCCTCACCAGCTGGGCCTGTTCCTTCTGCTCTTTCAACTCGAGAGTCAGCTTCTGGACCTGGTTCTGCAGGAACTTCTGCTGCCTGCACAAACTCCTGGGGGAAGGGGCAACCTCAGCAGCCCCCACCTCTGGGTCAGCAGCCAAGGAGGGGAGAAGGAGGAGCTCCACTTCACTGCCACTAGGGCCCCAAGGGCACAGAGTGTGGCTGGGTCAGGCCACGGTAGGCTCTGAGAAGTCTGGGTCAGAGGTGGGGTCGAGGTTGGGTTCGGGCCCCATCAACATGTTCAAGGTTAGGGGCTGGGCAGGGTCACAGTATGTTAACTTTTCCAAGGTTAGGTTGGGGATCTGGGACAGGTAAAGGCTAGGACCAGAGGCAAAGGTCAGGGTAAGGGTCAGGACGGGGGTCATGTTGGACTCTTGGTCAGGCTCAATGGTTGGGGTTGGAGTCAGACAAAAGCCAGGACTTAGAGCCAGGAAGGGGCTGGGTTGGGCTGGGGGATGAGTGCTTTACTGCTGACCTCTCAGGTGGAAGCCCGGCCACCTCCTGCAGGATGCGGCAGTGCTGGGGGCCCCAGCTGTTCTGGATGGCCCACCTCAGGGCCTGGATCTCCAGTTCCTGCTGCCCCCACAGCAGCCGCAGGGTGCGGGGGTCCAGGGACTCGGGGGCCAACCTGCAATGTCAGTGCCCCAGCCGCTTGATCAGGCCCTGCCAAGTGGCCAGCCACCCCTTCCCCCCACTTACTTCGGGTTGGTAGAAGAGACCATCCGTGTGGAGTTTGGCTTGGTGTCCTGTGGGCACGTGGGGGCCACTGGGCCTGCTGGTGTGCTGGCTGCAGGCCCCAGGTGGCCACTGACCAGCTCTTGGTCTCCCTGGAATGGGAGAGCCTCTTCCTTGGCTTCTTCAGTCTCCTGGTGAGACTCAGGGGCCATTCTTGATGTTCTTGGGGGGCTGAAAGGGGTAATGGGGCTGTCTGCCCTGTGTCCTGTGTGTGGGCACCCCTACAGGGCTCTCCTTACATGATCACATGCACACGTGAGTGTCTGACAACCCCAGACAGCAGCACTGGTTCACAGAGTGTCAGTCTCCAAGGAGGCCCTTGTGTGTATGTGTGTGTCTCTCCCACAGGACACCAGACCACCGGTCCCGTGGGTGGCCACACCCATATGTTTCTGACCAGGCCAGGGCAGCAGGTCACCTGGTATTCACACATTCCCTGTTGTCTCCTCCCTGTCTCTCTTACCCTCCAGGACCCGAGGTCATGCCCCTCAGCCTAAAGCAGAGGGTCCCCAGAGGTGCTGGTCCTTCACCCGGGACACCCATGTTCCCCCAGACCCAGGGCCCTACCCCCAACACTCACCTGAAGCCTGAAGTCCAAGCAGGCCTAGGAGGAGAAAGGCTTTATAGCGTTGCCATGGATACCAGCACCCAGAAGGGGAGGGGCTGTTTGTTGCCAGGAGCCTCCAGGCAGACCCCTGGAGACCCCAGACCAGGGCCCTGAGTGCACCCTCCTGGTCTAGCCTGAAGGAGAAGCTGTAAGAGCCTGAGCTGCTGCCCAGCTAACCTCAGCAGGCCCAGAGACCACAGAGTGACCAGCCTGGCCTCCCATGGTCACCCACTCAGCCCTGGGGAAGGCTCCCACAGTCCCTCCCACAGGCTCTTTGCCCTCAGTGGCTGATGCCCACCTACCTAACCCCCAGCCAGAAGCCTCTCATCCTGCCCAGCTCCATCTCCACCACCTGGGCCACTGAAGGGAGCCCTGGGGACAGCCCCATAACCATGACCCTCTGCCCCAGGACAAAAGTGAGGTCCCAGACTTGCCCCACAAGACCTGTGCCCTCCAGCCTTCGGCCCACCCCACCCCACCTTCATTCATCTATCATTCATTCATTCAGACTTTCAACTTTAGCTCAAGTAGGGCCTCCCGTGTGCCCGGCAGGATGCAGGCAGGCAGGCAGGAGGACCTCCCACTGACCTCCCAGTCCGGTCAGGGCAGAGCAGGCTCTGAATGCCCTCGCTACTGGTCCACACAGACAGCACAGAGGCTGTGAGGGGTTCCTGGTGCTGAGCTGGCTTGAGTTCTCAGCTCAAGCAGGGACAGGGGGCAAGACAGCATGACTGGCCAGGCAGAGGTGTCCGCAGCTCGGGAGGGCTCTGAGCCCCACGAAGGGGTGGAGGGAAGCAACCTCAGGGCCCTTTGTCCCTGGCACCCTCAGGGCGGGCCCCCTCCCCACCGGGACTGTCAGCCCGGCTGCAGCGAGAGAGAACCCGGCCCACTGGCTGCAGCCCACACTCTGCCTCCATCCCGCGGGGCTCAAAGACCACCCCCTCGACCCCTGTGCGTTCCCACGACGGCGCCACGGGCCCTGGAGGGGCGGGGCCGGCGGGGCCCTGGCCCTGGGGGCCCATGAGCCCTGGAGGGGCGGCTCTGGCCCCGCTGCCCCTCTGAGCAAAGGCTGGACTGCAAGGAGGGCGGGAGGAGGCTCCCAGGCCGGCGCCCCTTCGCTGGGCGGGGGACTCGTCAGACCGGGCGGCCGCCGAGGCAGTCGGCCTAGGAGCGGGGCCAGACACCTGCCCCACGCGCCGCCCGCGGGCCAGACGCGCTTCCGCGTTGTTCGCGGGCCTGGGGCGTGCGTGGACCTGGGCTCGGCCCGGCCACCGCTTCGCCGGGCCCCGCCCACACCTGGGCGCCGCCAGGGGCGGGGCGGGCAGCGAGCCAATGGGGAGGGGAGGGGCGGGACACAGAGGAGGCAGCCAATGGGCGTCAGCGCGGGGCGGGCGAGGCGCGCCGTGGGGCCAATGGGACGCGCGGGGCGGGGCGCGCGGGCTGCTGGCCAATGGCCTGGCGGGCCGGGCGCGCCCGCTGCGCTGGAGGCGGCAGGTTGCGGCGGCGCCGGGCGCCGGCCGCCTGGCAGGAGCCGGTTCGAGGCCGGGTCCCGGAGGCCAGCGAACACCCAGGTGAGCCGCGCGGGGTCCCGGAGCCTCTCGAGTGCGAGTTGGGGCCTGGGAGCAACTCCGGCGGAGCGGCGCGAGCCGGGCCTCCTTGGGGGCCGCGCCGCACCTGCACCCGCCCCGCACGGCGACGGCGGCCTCGGGGGCGGGGGCAGCTACTGGCGGGAGCGGAGAAGGGGCTGCCCGCGCCGGCGGGGCCGAGGGCCGAGTGCGGGGGGTCGTGTTTGCGTGGGGCGGCGCCCCGCGGGAGGGGCAGTGCCCTCGCGCCAGGTGACCGGGGGCAGGAAGTCCTGCATCTGGTTAATGATTCGCCTTGTTCCGGGAGCGGGGCGGGGCGAGAGGCGGCTGGAGTGGGAGCCTGGAAGAGCTCCGGGAGGGCGGACTGGGAACCCTTGGGGGGCTGGTCTTGACGACCCCCACCCCAGGAATGCGTGGCCTGCGGGTGGGGCTCGGCTAGGCTAGCAGAGCTGAATCAGCTCTGGGGGTGAGGGCCGGCCCAGAGGAGAAAAAGGGGAGGGCCAGGCCGTGGTGGGGCCAGGCAGGGCCTGACCCTGTGGCCTTTACCCTCCCTGCAGGACAGGGATGCTCTCAGGGCTGGCAGCCATGGAGCTGAAGGTGTGGGTGGACGGCATCCAGCGTGTGGTCTGTGGGGTCTCAGAACAGACCACCTGTCAGGAAGTGGTCATCGCACTAGCCCAAGCAATAGGTGAGTCCTCTTAGGCAGGGACAGGCCTAGCAGGTGCACCTGGGGTGGGGCCCGGCCCTCTGGCCCCTTCTTCCCCCAAGGAGGGTGGGACTGGTTGCTGATCTCTCTTGCCCTCCCCCAACCCCTCAAGCCAGGTGGACAGAGAGTGGGGGGATATAGGCTGACCTCTCTCCCCCTACCCTAGGCCAGACTGGCCGCTTTGTGCTCGTGCAGCGTCTTAGGGAGAAGGAACGGCAGCTGCTGCCCCAGGAGTGTCCAGTGGGTGCCCAGGCTACCTGTGGACAGTTTGCCAGCGATGTCCAATTTGTCCTGAGGCGGACAGGGCCCACCCTTGCTGGGAGGCCCTCCTCGGACAGCTGCCCACCCCCTGAGCGCTGCCCAATCCGCGCCAGCCTCCCCCCGAAGCCGCGACCAGCGCTGGGCCGTGAGCCCCACAAAACACTGACCTTCAGCCTGGGGTGCCCTGCGCTGGCCCCTGGCCCTGCACCACGGGAGCCTGTGGCCCCTGTGGCACCAATGCCAGGCTGCTGCACAGACCTGCAGGGCCTGGAGCGCAGGGTGCAGAGGAATGCCGCGGAGCTGGGCCAGGAGGCTTTCTGGGAGCAGGAGCTGCGGCGGGAGCAGGCTCGGGAGCGTGAGGGGCAGGCACGCCTGCAGGCGCTGAGTGCGGCCACTGCCGAGCATGCTGCCCGGCTGCGGGCCCTGGACGCCCAGGCCCGCACCCTGGAGGCCGAGCTACATCTGGCCGCAGAGGCCCCTGGGGCTCCCTCGCCCACAGCATCAGCCACGGAACGCCTGCGCCAGGACCTGGCTGCCCAGGAGCGGCAGAGCGCGGAGGTGCAGGGCAGCCTGGCCCTGGTGAGCAGGGCTCTGGAGGCAGCCGAGCACGCCCTGCAGGTGAGCCCGCAGGACCCTGCACTCCTGCTGGTTTCCCCGACACGGCTGGATTGGGGTTTGGTCTCAGGGTCAGACTAGGGAGAGCACGAGGTGTGGAGCCTCATGGCTGTGCCCCCTGAGGGTCCCGTGTGCCCCAGGCCCAGGCCCAGGAGCTCGAGGAGCTGAACCGGGAGCTGCGTCAGTGTAACCTGCAGCAATTCATCCAGCAGACTGGGGCTGCACTGCAGCCGCCCCCACGGCCGGAGAGGGCTGCCCCCGGCACACAGGTCAGAGCGCTTCTGGAGGGAGGCCAGGTCGGTGGGGGGCCTGGCCCAGCCCCAAGCTGACCTGCTCTCCCCATAGGATCTTCTGCCTCCAGCCAGAGAAGGGCCCCTCACAGGAGCCCCCCGGAGTCCTGCCCTAGTGTCCAGCCTGAGTCCAGAGAGTATGTCTGTCTCTCCCACTCTGGGTGGGACAAGGGCCTCCTATGGTCCCCTCAGCCCCTTCAGCCTGTGTCCTCTCCACAGTTGCCCCTATGAGGCAGAACTCCTGGAGGTAGCAGCTCTCACCCCAGAGTGGACATCCACTGCCTGCCCAGCCCTGGGCTCTGATGGCACGAGCGAGGGCAGCCAAGGCCAGCCCAGCCTGGACGACAGAAGAAGAGTCGGTGGTCACAGAGGACTCCTTCCCTCATGCAGTGGGAAGCTCTGGTGCCCTGAGCCCGAGACAGAACACCTCAGAGCCATGGGGTTTCTGCTGAGGGAGGCTGCGGGAGGCTGAGGACTCTCGCTCTAGTCCTTGCCAAATCTGCCAAGCCCCCTGGAGAAGCATGGGGCATGCCCAGCTCAGAACTCTCTAGTTCCCAAAGGCCATGGCTCCTTGTTGGGGACGGGAGATGCATGGACACTGTGTTCAACCCCTGAGTGTGTGCTTGCACGTGGGAGGTATCCTTCACTGTGTATGTGTGTGTGCTGCCTCCCCTACCCCACCACTGAAACCTCAATAAATTGCTCAAAGTGGCTTAAGTGTGTCCTGAGGTTGCACTGGGCGGGGTCTGTGGGGTCTAGACCTTGAGGCTCCACCCAGAGTCACGGGAGAATATCCAGAGCTGACCACAGCCAGGGCTTCTGAGAAGGGGGTCTCCCAGGGGCCGGCAGTCACTTGGGTCCAGGGCTGGGGCTCTCGGGGCCTCACATTTCAGGCTGCTGTGCACACCCACCCTAGGGCTCTCCTTGGCAGCCCGAGCCTGGGGTTGGAGTTGGAGGATCTGGGGCCTGAAGGTGCCTCAGCCCTGGCCTGGGTTTCTGTCCAGACCCCTCTCCTGCCTGGTCTCTTCCTCCCCAGCAGCAGGAACTGCCACCCCCTCTGGAGTGGCTCCTGGACTTGAAGACTCAAGGACGTGCCAGACCCGCCTGTCAAGTTTACTGAGTCTGAGAGTTCGCGGGGGCGGGTCCCCGGACTCCTGGGTTGGCAAGGCTGAGGGAGCTTTCCCAGGGGAGCTTTGTAGGCCCCATGAGGGTGTGGCCACCCTGCCTCCCAACACCCCCCTCTGCTCCCCAGGTGGGTGTGAGGCCTCTGCTGCGTGCCTGCAGCCTTGAAGTTGGGGCAGGGCGATGTCCAAACACTGGCCTGGTCCTGGGGTGGGCCGCAGGCTCCCAGCTCCGAGGGCTGTGGCTGAGATTGGAGAACTTTGTGATGGCCAGAAGCCGGGGGCTCCGAGGCTCGGGTACAGCCATGGGTATTAGAGAATAGGGAATGGGGACATCCTAGATCATGTGGGTCTTTGTGCTGAGTTTGGGAGCTGGAAACTTTGGGGTGGATTCAGCCTTCTCCTGGGGTGGCCCCTGAGCTAGGCCTGGCGTTCCCTACTTCCTTTGGGGCAGACCATAGGGGACATGAAGTTCTGAGCTTGAGGAGCAAGGAGGACACCAAGGGGCAAGGCCACCAAGAGCACAGCTTGTGGGGAGTAAGCAGATCTGGGTACTTGCTGCCTGAGATGGAACAGGAACAGGGACAGGGAGTGGACAGACAGGACAGGCAGGAGTAGGCGGCTTCTGAACCCAGTGTCAGAGGAACCCAGCCCAGGCTCTGCGGAGCCCCTAACCCAACCCCACTCCTGTCTACACTCCACTCCCACCCGAGTCCACTGGCCCACTCGCAGCAGCCTGTTCCTGGGGGACTGGACTGGCCTGACTATGGCCTTAGACACGGCCAAGCCCAGGGTCACATGGGGTGCAGCCTGGAGTGCAAAGGCTGATGGGGCCGTGCCCTGGGTGGGAGGGCTGGAGGCTGTGGGCCATCACCGCCAGGTCCAAGGGGCCTGCTCCCCTCACCCACAGCCCACCTGTGCTCAGGAGAGTCGGATGTACCTCTGGGCACTAGCCCTGAGCCCCAGCATGCGGTCATCTGCCAAACTGAGCACACAGGCCAGCAGGGTCGAAGCCAGGTGCCACCCAGGGACCACCCTACACACACAGGGCATGGGGCAGCATTAGCCTACACCCTCCCGCTGTCATGCGCCTCCCCACCCGACAAAGGGAAGCAGGCACAGAGCTGCCAGATCTCGCACACCGCGGTCTCCTGTGTCTGTTTTCAGGGAACACCTGTTCCTTCTGAAGCCACCTGTCCCTGGTCTGCTGCTGGCTCTGAGGAAGCTCGTGAGCCCTCTTCTCCACCTCGGAGGGGTCCTCAGGCAGCCACTGCTCTCTGGGGTGAGCAAGGGGGTAAAACCTTCCTCCTCTCTGGCTGTTCCAGGTGGACAAAATCTCAAACCCCCAAAAAGTTCCCAAAAGTGCTTCAGATCACTAAGCAAACCTCTGAGTTGGTGAAAAGTTTACTTGAGTTTTAAGCTCATTGAAAACGACGACATGAGATGTGCGGAGGTGCGGAAAGGCCCAGCTCCCCGCAGACGTCCAGTCCACGGCAGGGCAGGACCGAGCCAGGCCAGGCCAGCTCCCCACATGAGCTGAGGCCGGACCCTGCCTGGTGTAAGTACGGGCGGAGGCAGCATCGTCATTGTCGCTCTGCAGGGCCAGGCTGTGATGGGGGAGGACGCTGGAGCCCCTACTGACCTCAGAGTTCCTGCTGGCCCCCAGCGCAGAATGCCCTCCATGGCTGGCTGAGGACACCAGGGTCCACTGAGGGTCGCCCACAGTAAGTTGTTGCCCCATGGCAGCAAATCAGCTCGGCTGGTTCTCAAGCCCAAGACCACCCACAGCCACCCCGTCACCTGCAGCCCCTGGCCTGGCCAAGCCTCCTGGGTGTGACACAATACGCCACCCTGACTGTTAGGACAGGGTCCCTCCAAAGGCAAATCCAAGTCCAGGCAAGGCCCTGACTAAGCTGCCTCTCTCAGCTCCAGCTGTCAACCCCCGCTGCCCAGGATGGGGACGGGGCCTGCCCCAGGCGTCCTGGCGCCCACAGGCCTTGAGGCTGTTCTAACACCCAGCAGTCAAGGCAGGCCTGGCAGATAGGCAGGTGCAGGTCGCTGGACACCACAAATGGTCCTCGGCATCCTGACTCCCTTAGTGGCCTCGCTGAAGGGACAGGAATGCACAGAAAAGCCAAGTCTGTCACTCTCTTCCTTAAGAAAGTTCCCAGAGATGCCCCTCAGGAGGCTGGCCCTGGAGGCTCCAGTGAGAATGGCCGAGGGTCTGGCCACAACACCCGTGCCTGCCCAGGGCTGCCCTCAGCTTGGCGACATCCAGAAGTCTGTCCGAGGAACTCTGCACAGCCTGGCACCCTGAGACACACAAGGAAAAGAAAGTTCCCTCCAAGAGGGCATCTGGCCCAACCGAACCCCCTCGTGCCGAGGGAAGCGAAGCCCCCCGAATGTACCCCCTTTCGCCCCCGCCCCCCGCTGCTGCTGGACGCAGACAGGCAGATCCCGTCCATAGGGGCGCCCTCGCCCCTCCCACCCCCCCACCCCCGCCTTGTCGCACGCCCTCCGACCCGGTGTGGCCGCCCCCTGCCCGAAAGAGCAGGGTCACAGAGGGGCCGGGACGGTCGCGCTGCCCAGGGACAGATCAGCCGCTGTCACACGCACAGTGGGTCCGGAGCAGCGCAGTGTGCGGTGGGCAGTGGCTACCCTGCGCCTGGAGGGACCGCTGGACGGGCAGAGGGGTCCGTCCCCCACCCCCGACCCCTCCCTCCCCTCCAACTTGGGCGTCCCAGCCCCCGCCCGCCGGCCTGGGCCCCCTCGCGCGTCACCTGCGACCCCGGCACGGGGCCGTGGCCGGCTCTCGGCCCAACTTCGGCTGCGGCCGCGGCCCCCTCGCGCCCCCGCCGGCCCCGAGCCCCGCGCCCGGCCCGTATGTAAATACGCGGGCCCCGCAGCCAATGGCCGGCCGGCCCGGGCCCGCCCTGCCGCGCCGCAGCCAGTGGGCGCGAGGGGGGGGCGTGCGCCACGCCCACCGCCGCGCGGCCCCTCGCGGGCGCGGCCGGCGCGTTCCTTTCCGCACGTCGGCCTCGGGGCGGGGCCGCCACCTGCCGGGCGGGGCCTGCGGGCGCCGGGCCGCGGCGCGGGGCGGCGCCCCCGCGGCCAGGCGGTGGTACGGCCCGAGGCGCTCCCCCGCTGGCCGCCGCGGGTGGTACGGCCCCGCCCGGGATCCCGCAGGCTCCGGCGCACGTCGCCCGGGCGCGCCCTCGGGACGCACGTACCGCCCGCGCCCTCCCCGGGCTGCCGGCCTGGTTTGCCCCGCGCCCCCGCCCCCGCCCCCAGCGGGCCGGCCCTGGGGACCTGGTCCCTCCTGAGGGACGTGTCGCTCTGGAAGCTCGGAGTCCAAGTCAGCCCGGGCACAGGGCGCAGCGCCCTGAAAGGGTGGAAGTCCCGGGAAGGGGCCGTGTCAGAGCGGAGTTATCGACCCCTGGGGGCCAGCCCCAAGAAGGGAGCTTGGGCTCCGGCCCCTCCTCTTCACACTCCCCTCCCTGCCTCCCCGCCGAGGGCACCCCTGAGGCAGAATCAGGGGTGATGGGGACCCCTGGTCGGGCAGAGAGGTGCCTGCTCCCCTTTCGCTCCTGACACAGGGGTCCTCATAGCCTTTTGTGCCCCCTCTAAGGTAAGCAAGAACGCCCCTCGTCCCCCACCTCCCTCTGGCACCTGCCTCCGAGCCTGGCCCTCCCTAGAGGACCCCACTCCCCTGGCTCCAGGCAGCTCCAAAGGGCCCCTCTGCCCCCTCCTCCCCCACGCTGCCACCCTGGTCCTTGGCCCAGGGGCCGTGCCCCCTCAGCCACCCTGGCCCCCTGGCTGCTCTCCTGCAGCCCTCCTACGCTGGGACTCACCACCCGGCTCCTCGTCCTCCCTGACCCGGATGAATTCCCCACATCCCACCTGAGCCTGGGCTGGAGCCCCCCAGCTGCCACAAACCCAGCGCAGCCCCTCCTGCACCCTTCCCACCGTCATGGCCACTCCATTTCTTCCTTCAAAGCCACCCCCTGGGTGACTAAGTCCTGGGGCTCCAGGGGGCATCTGATCCTGCCTAGGACCCCAGGAACCGGAAGCCTGGGGACAGCGATTCAAGTGCACGGTGTTGTGGCATGTGTCCACCTGTGGGTGGAGAAGGGCACAGGGGGGGCAAGGAGCCAGCTCAGTTCTCTTAGGGGTCAGCGAGGCCTGGATGGTGTGGGTATGGAAAGAACCTGTGCGATCCCTCAGGCGGCCCACACCTTCAGGACAGGGCATGACTGGGGGTGGGCAGACAGGGCAGAGGTTTGCAGGGGAGAAGTCTGAGATTAGGAACAGGGAGAAGCCAGAAGGGAGGGTGACTCCGAGCTCCTGTCTTGCCCTGCTGGTATGACCCTCAGCTGTGCCCCCCTGGTCCTACTAGTCCCAAATACATCCCTTATCACCTCTGTAGTGGGTTGAATGGTGGCTCCTCAAAGCTGTATGCCCCTATCCTAATGCCTAGACCCTGTGAATGTTACCTTATTTGGGAAAAAGGGTCTTTGCAGCTATAATTAAGGATCTTGAGATGAGATCATCCTGGATTACCTGGGTGGGCCCTAAAGCCAATGACAAGTATACTTATAAGAGATGGGGGGAGATACAGACATACAGGGAGGAAGACCAGGCGAGGACGGAGACAGAGATTGGGGCAATGCTGCCACAAGCCAAGGAAGCCTGGAGCACTGAAAACGGGAAGGGGCGGGAAAGGACTCTCCTGCAGATCTCAGAAGGAGCACGGCTGCAAACCTGGATTTTGGACTTGTGGCCTCCAGGACTATGAAAGAATACATGTCTGTTGTTTTAAGCCACGTGTCTGGCGTCATTTGTTATGGCTGCCCCAGGACACTGATACACCCGCCTTCCTAAATCAGGGACCACTGTCCTGCCTGTCTCCACTCCTGCCTCTGGTTCTGTGTGTGCCTCCAGGCCTCATGGCAGGGGAAGGGGCTCGATGGAACTGAAGAGAGCTCCAGCCCAGCTCCACCCTCCTGTACACACGAGGAGAGGAGCGTGCACGCCATGCCTGTGCCTGCCTGTGCCTGCCAGGGGCAGGAGCAGGGTGTGCCAGCCCACACCAGGCACCCAGCAAGGGCTTCAGGGTGCAGGTCTGTGAGGGGCGTGTGGGCACACATGTATGTCCTTGCTTGGCACTAGCTTGTGAGAGGTGGCAGGTAGGTGTCTGGCCAGTGTGCACCAGAGGTAACAGTAGTGATGGGGGGTATATATGGAAGGTGTTCACATGTGTGTGGGAGGGTAAGTTTTTTGTGTCAGCTTGTGGGGGGGACATCAGTGGGTGGGAGATACAGACATGTGCCTATGCTCTCAAGAGTTACCACCTATGCTCAGTGTGGGCGCAGACCAGTGGCTCTGGACAGTACCCTGGGGACACATCTCACATCTGAGCATAGGTGAGCAGGGCTGGGTAGTTGGGCACTGCCCAAGGCTACCTGCTGAGGGAGTGTTCTTCACATCTCATCGTGGGTGCGGGTGTTTACTGTGACAATCTTCCAGCAGCCCCCAGGAGCAGCTGTAGATAAAGGTGGGAGGGGCTGGCCCCTCTCCAGGGGGGCTCCAAGTTGGCCATAAGCTGTTGTCCAACTCCTTCCCAGGAGCTTCAGTGAGGTGCCCCCACGCCCCCATTTGGGACCCTCGGTAGGCTAGTGGTCTTTGCCAGGGAGGCATGTGTGCGTAGAAGGGCCAGCACAAGCTAGCTCCATGCCAGGAGGGAGGGGGAGGTGCCTGGTGCAGGGTATTTACCACGCTGGACCCGGCCCCAAGCACTGACCCTGTACTCACCCATCCAGCTCTCAACATTCCTATATTATGGCCAAGGACGCTAAGGCACAGGGAGGTCAAGAAACTCTCCCAAGGTCACTCAGTTGATATGCTGGGAGCCCAAGTGCCTGGGTTCAGGTACCTCGCTGGGTGACACCCAAGAGGCACCTCCCTCCAGATCCCACTCCTCTGGCCCACGAAAAGAAATTGCTCCAGAGTCTCCCATCTCTCTAGCACCATCCATTCTTCCTTTTGGCAAAGTTCTTTCCAGAGCCTGTAAGCATGCTATTATCGTCATCCTCAATAGAACAAAACAAAAACAACCTCTCTTGGCTGGCTACTTCTCTTCCTCCCTCTGCAGCAGAACCACTGGAAAGAGTCGTCGGTGCTGCTGTCTGATTACTCTCCTCACACTCTCCTTCAACTCCCCCAGCCCCCAGTGCCACTGGCCTCAGGGTCACCAGTGACCCCCACCTCGCTCCACCCAGGTCCCCTCCTTGATGCGCCTTCTCCTGGCTTCCTGAAGCCCCTCTCCTGGTTTCCCCTCCTTTTTACCTTGCACCTCACATCCAATCCCTCAGCAAATCCCGTCAGTTCTGTCCTTAAAGTCTACCGGGAGCCGATCCCTCCCACACCTGGCCTGCCCCTCAACCCGAGCGTGGGCCCCAGCGGTCCCTGAGCAGGTCCTGAGCAGGGGTCACTAAAGGGGCCTCCTGACTGGCGCCCCAAGTCCGCCCTGGCTGCTCTAGGCTGTTCCTACCCAGCTGCCCCTGGGATCCCGTAAGCCAGCGCATGTCATCCTGCTCAACACCCGCGGGTGCCCCCAGAGTCTCTGGCCCTGCCTGGCCGGTGGCTTCTGGCCACTCCCCGCTCTGGGCCAAGCCACGGGCCTCCTTTCTGTGGTCCAGGCTGCTTCTCTGCGCTCTCGTCTTTCCCGGGTCCATCCTAATCAACGCTGACCAGTCCTCCCAGGCTCCTACCCCTCTCTATCCTCCCATCATAGCAGAGTCAGCTTCTCGCACACCACGCGGTGTAGGGATTCAGTGTCCTCTGTGTACTGTGTGTCTGCACCGACGCGACACGGGGCTGGGGTCTCGTCCTCGCTGCTCCCAGCACCCGGAGGAGACCGCACATAGGTGAGGGGAGACGGACGGCGCAGAGCTGCTCGTCCCAGAAGCCCACGCGGCCGCCCTCCGCAGTCCTCCGCGGCCGCCGGTGGGCTCCGAGCCGCTCGCGAGATGGGGGCTGGAGGGGCGGGGCGTGGCCACAGCGTGGGGCGTGGCCGTGGGTGTGGCCACAAGCGTGGGGGCGGGGCCAGGGCTGTGGGCGGGGCCCAGGTGAGCCGGGAGGCCGCGGACCGAGGGTGGACTGTACCAGCTCCCCGGCGGGGGAGGACGGCCGGAGCAGCCTACTGGCGGGGGCTTAGGTACTACAGGTGCGTCCAGGGAAGTGGTCTTCCTGGGCGGCGGTCCAGCATTAAACAGTGTTCCCGACGCGGAGAGCGGCGCCGTCCTCCACTTCAGGCCTTTCTTCCCCGTCCTGGTCCCGTGGTTCTCGCCAATGGGCGGGGCGGGAGGGCCCCGGAAACCGGCTCGTGCACTTCCGGGTCGGCGAGCGCGCGGCGGCGGCGGCGGCGGCAGCGACGGCTGGGCCTAGTCGTGGCTCTCGTTCGTGCGGCGGCGGTGGCCAGCGCCCGGGAGCGGTCGGCTGGGCGCCAAGTTCCCGGGTACGTGCTGGGGCCGCGCCCGCCCCGCGGTGCCCGCCGCACTCCGGCCTGGGGCCGCCCCGGGCGCCGCGCGCTTTGTCTGCGGCCTGCCCCGCGGTGCGAGGCCTGCCCGCACCCGCCCCGGGCAGGAGCGGCGGGGACGCCGGGCGGCGGGCGGGCGCGGAGAGCGGCCCAGGCGGCGGGCGGGGAGCGGCGGGGACCCGGGGCCGGCGCGGGGAGTCCTCGCACGAGGCTGGGAGGCCTGCAGGCAGGTTTCCGGGGTGGCTGCCTTCCTGTCCCCGGCGCCTCGTCCCGTGACACCGCGCCCCCTGTGCTGTCCCCGTCCCCTCTCTGCGAGCGAGGTGGGACCTT